CACGTCACGTCACATCTTTGGAGTCTTTGGTTAAGTTTTTCTCCCATAAGGCTTAAAAATGGAGTAAGAAATCATAATTTCACCAGTAGCCCCATCTAGAGTTTGGAGCAAATAGCATAAAAAATGTCAGTTGTCGGTTTTGACCTTGGTCATTCACGTGGAACCTCTATGTGCTTTGTGGACACCACCGTTCATTCTTCAAAAATTTTGTAAATAATCCTATCTGTCTTGGTTATATATCTATGGTTTAGAAAGAGTAAAACCAAATTTGGTAGATTTTCACACTTTTATTTTAAAAATAAAAATTTTTAAAAAAACACTAACATGACATATGTTTCGAAGTACAACTTCTTTTTCAAATGTGACTATTTACAATTCGGTATCCAATATATATACAAAATAATTTAACAAAACAAAGTACTTAAGAAAACATCAATAACATTACAAAATAAACTAACTATTTAAAGTAAATAAGGGTAGTTAGGTAATTATAATATCCATCAAATAACAATAAGATAGCCCATTACCGGGATTATCTCACAGAAAACTGGGAAAGAGATTTAATAAGGGTGAATTATTAATATCTAATTGATCATTTAGTAAGTTATCTGAATTTTTAAATCTATTTATTTCAAGAGTTTCTAAATGGTTTAATTTAAGGCTCTTATTTTCTTCATATAAAATTTCAAAGTTGTCTGTAAAAGAATGATTTTCAGCTAAAATATGATTTGAGTAAGTAGAATTATTTTTGTTTTTTGTATAGCTATTATAATGTTCGGAATAGCGTTTTTTGAAAGTACGGCCTGTTTGACCAATATACAATTTTGGACAACTACCACAATTTAATTTATATACCCCCGATTTATTATTAGGATTAATTTTACCCTTATTGTTTTTAATATACTTCCCAAGCGTATTATTGGTTTTAAAAGCTACGTTAATATTTTGGTTTTTTAAATATGATGATACCTTTTCACTAGGAGCTCCTATATATGTAAGACTCTTATATCTGCAATTTGGATCTTTAATTTTGGGATAAACTTGTTGTATAGCCTGTTTAAAAAGTTTTTTCTCTAAAATGTTGTCTACTATACTCAAACAAATAATGATTGAGAGTGAACCGTGTTGTCATATCTCAATTTTACCTTACTAGTTTTTAGCAGAATCAAAATAGAGTAAGTAGTAGAGTTGTAAGTTGTGGCAAATTATAGATAATATACAATCATAGTACTAATAAAAGATATTAATTATAACAAAAATCAGTAATGAGTAATACTTATACATTTCTTGATCATTTAAAATTAATTATTTTATGGATTGTTCAGTATTTCTTACAACTAATGGCATCGGTGTACGGGAGCGATATTTGTGTCTTTGTCTGTTACGCGTAAAATCCATCTCGTCGATGACGTTCTCAGTAGTGTATTTCTAACCACGAGCGTAACATCGGGTTTTGAATTATACGGTGTGAATTGTAAGTTTTACAGTTAAGTTAGTAACTAATCGACGTGTTGTAAGAACAATTGGTGAAAATATTAGTGCTAATAAGTGTTTAAACATTAAATAATAATATTTCTACACCGTTCTAAAACTATGCAAAAAATGGAAGACATTGAAGGACCTTCAACGTCGAAAAAGGTAAAACGGTCGAAGTCTCGGTCGCTAAGTGAAAAACAAATTGTACTTCGAGTATTTCACTGTCTTGAAAGAGATCATCAGCGACCAAAAGATAACTTAGTGCATATGTGCTGTAATTCTACGGATGTACCTCCGAATAACCAACCGGGCGTTCCAACATCATTAACTTCCACAATTACAAAAGATAAATTAGTTGATATGTGCTCTGATTATACGGGTGTACCAAAATCATCAGTTTACAAAATACTAAGAGAAAACAAAATTCATGGGGAAGTACAAACGCCAAAAACTAGTAGCGGAAGAAAAAAAATCACAGTTGATGAAGAAGCCAAAAACAGTATACGCACAACTATTCACAGTTTCTTTTTCAGAAATGAGCTGCCCACTTTGCAAAAAGTTCTGGAGGCAGTTAGCGATCATGAATTGGTCCCACAAATGAGTAAAGAAACTTTGAGGAAAATTTTACACGAAATGAAATTTACGTACGGAAAAGTCGACAGGAAAAGCATTCTCATTGAACGTCAGGAAATAATAGTATGGAGAAGAAATTATCTCCGAAAAATTGAGGAATTTCGGAATATCAAAAAAAAAATTTACTACATGGATGAGACGTGGGTTAACCAAGGACATACGGTCAAAAAAGTATGACAAGATGGTCATATAACAAGTGCACGACAAGCCTTTATTGAAGGCTTGTCAACTGGGTTAAAACAGCCGTAGTAATTTAAGCTTTATAATGTCTTTTAATGTTGGCCGAACCCAATTAGGGTTTCTTGGGTAAGGCTGGCTAGTTTCGAGGAACTGCAGGTAAACCGGGAGAGAGAGATATATATATATATATATATATATATATATATATATATATATATATATATATATATATATATATATATATAAAATTCAAACTAATTTATTGGGGGCAGCAGCAATATATATATAGAGGTATGCTTTATTGTCATTGAAAAATTACAAAAATTTTATAGACAAAGCGAAGTAAATTAAAAACTAAATATAATATAAAAAGATTAAAAAATATAAAAATTTAAAAATAACTAAACAAAACAAAATAAAAATATCAATTGCATTGGATATGCAATATCCGTCATTATGATTTAAATTTAAAATTTAAGTAATACTTCTGTATGTGTAACCCAAGAAGAAACTTAAGAGACAGTTCCTTACTGACTTCGGCCGCGACATAATATATAAATATACGTTAATTTGTGAAATAAAGTTAAATTCATTATTAAAATAGTAAAATTGATAATATTGTTTCTGTCACCAAACCAACCCCTGATTAGGTATCTTTCTTATTTTTAATTTGAAATATATATTGTGATTTTTATTAATATTCTTAATTTATTTGGTTCCTACTATAATTACCACAATAATTACTCCGTTTTCATAAAGCCCCACTAATGACTACAACGATTAGGTAAATTACGATATTGCAAAGTTTTTATGAAATAAATAAAAGAAATTGTATGAATATTTTAAATAATTGTACCCTCTCAAAAATAATAAGCACGCCTCCGATTTGGTCGTATTTCTACCTGCCTTCACTCTCAATCATTATTTGTTTGAGTTTAACTTTGAATTAAAATTATTATTTACTGCGATTTGTTTAATGATATTTAATTCTTTTGTGAAGTTCTCTTTGGTAAGGGGAATATTAACTAATCTATGGATCATACTGTTGTATGCTGCCAGCTTTTGTTTGTATGGATGAGATGAACTATTATTTATTGTAATATCCGTATGTGATGGCTTATGAAATATCCTAAAACTATGGCCTTTATTATTTTTAATAATATTTAAGTCTAAAAAATTAATTGAATTATCCTTCTCTGTTTCCATAGTAAATTTAATATTAGGGTGTATAGTATTGATAAAAACTAATAAAGAATTTAACTGTCTACTAGTACCAGTAAAAGCAGTCAATATATCATCAACATATCTATGCCAATACAGACAATGTTTACTTAAATTATTGCTATGAATTTTATTTTCTATATTATCCATAAATATTTCTGCAAGCAACGGGCTTAATGGGTTCCCCATAATAAGACCTTCATTTGCTGAGTAGATGTTATTTTGAAATTGAAAATAATTTTGTTTTAGGCAAATGTTTAACAAATTTAGGATTTCTTCTTTGATTATAATATTGACTTGATTACGATCTAATAAGTTTTCTACTAGCTTAACTGTTTCTTTAGGATGTATACTAGGAAATAAGTTTGTTACATCGAACGATACTAATTTTGTGTTACTAGGTAATTTAATGTTTTTTAATTTTTCTGTTAATTCATAAGAATTTTTTATACTATACTTTGAATTGAATTTGCAGTTTTCTTGTATAAGTTTAATTAATGTGTGTGAAAGTTTAACTGATGGAGCCGTGACAAATGACACAACTGGTCTAATAGGATAGTTCTCTTTGTGTAATTTTATTAAAGAATAAAGTTGTGGTGGTTGAGGGTTCATTTGTATTAGTTTGAATTTTTTCTGTTTTTGTGAGATAATCCCGGTAATGGGCTATCTTATTGTTATTTGATGGATATTATAATTACCTAAGTACCCTTATTTACTTTAAATAGTTAGTTTATTTTGTAATGTTATTGATGTTGTCTTAAGTACTTTGTTTTGTTAAATTATTTCGTATATATATTGGATACCGAATTGTAAATAGTCACATTTGAAAAAGAAGTTGTACTTCGAAACATATGTCATGTTAGTGTTTTTTTAAAATTTTTTATTTTTAAAATAAAAGTGTGAAAATCTACCAAATTTGGTTTTACTCTTTCAAAATTAAATGGATTTTCATCAAGTAAAGGCCGAAACAATAAATAATCTATGGTTTAGTTGCTTTCCTATTTTGTGAGGATTTGTTATTTTTAAACATTAATAAATCAACATGTAATGAAGCAAATTTCAAATTTTTTTGCACGGTTGAATAGAGAATAAAACCCCCTTTCAAATGAGCTATCACTCACCACCCCATGCCATTTAAATTTTTCAAAAGGGTTCCTCCCCTCCAGTAAGGGATGAAATTAAGGGTAAACTAATCATACAAAAATGTACATTGTAGAAATCAAAAATCGACCTGTCTCGGCAATTTTCCTAAGAAGACTCCAGTAATGAGTTAGATAGGGGGGGTAAGACTTATGGTGCTCACTGTATAAGCCATATTTATAAATAACGAAAAAACAACCTATTCCATTTAATAATAATAATAATAATAATAATACTAAAAAACAATATTTTGAACAAATTTATACCATTTTAGATACAGGTCGTTGATATATTCAGCATATTTAGCAAGTTTATTTAGTAATATGTTTCTTGCAATTTGTTCAACTTACTTTTAAATATTCAGGTGTCAAATGCTTTCCTTCCATCAAATTTGTTAATTTAAGGTTCAATTCAACTCCTACGGCTTTAGCAGTCAGTAGTACATTTCTGCAGGGCGCGCTACCAGGAACGTAGTAAAAATCAATTGGTGCCATTTTAGCTGCAATAAGAAAATACATATTTAAATCATTTTTAACGAGTTAACAAATAGGGTTGTTGGTAAACAATTATATAAATATGTGTATGCTTTATCTTTCTTTATGGCTGATCTTTTCACCTTTGAGTAAAGTTACATGTAGGATTACTTGACATAATAACAAACAATAGCCCTGTAGTTTAATCAGCAAGTAGTTACTTTTAACTTTAGTCAGAGGTGAAAAAACTGACCCTTAAAATAGTAAATATGTTATATTTTGTTCAGTTTGCACATCCTCAGCTATAGTCTATTTTTATGTATGAGAAAGTATTAAAATAATAAAGCGTTCGTAATCCATAGGCGTAGCACTTCTTTTAGTAGACAGGTAAAATATTTTTTGAAGTTATTCCTCGAGTATACACTTATATTTTCACCTAATTAACCTGCTTATAACTTCTAAACAACTGAAGATAAAAAAGTGCAATTTTTTCTAAAATGTTTTATTTTTCCACAAGGTATGTTAAGATCATTGTGTCACACGGGTTATGTAGGTATAAGGGTTTAAACTTTGACTTTTAAACAACGTTACGTTCATAAATAATAATTTTAATATAAAAACTACTTCTTATCTACAAATCCAAATCAGAAGATGAACTGTCGCAACAATTATTTACAATGAGTGGCTCGATCATTTCATCAGTAATATTGTCCAATTTCCACATTTTCTCTTCTTCTTTAATCGTATGATTTACTGCCTTTTCCCAGTTTTCAGGCTTCACATTATTTACAGCCTCCAAAAACAACTGTTTAACATCACTCATTTTAAAAGAATTATTTTTTCTTGAAACTTCTCCCTTTATCTGTGCCCATATCAGTTCAATCGGGTTTACTTCGCAATGATATGGTGGTGATCTAACCACCGTCATCCCACGATTTTTTGCAATTTCATCAATTTCATATTTTTTGAATTTCTCTTTATGAAGGGAACACAAATGATACAGTTCTTTTCTCACAGAACCGGGATGGAACTTAATATTCTTTGAATTTAGCCAATTTTGTAAATCTTTTTTTAACCACTTGGTTGTGGGCATTTTTTCTATAAGTCTCGAGTGATAACTTGCATTATCCATTACTATTATACAGTTCTGAGGAAGAAGATCTATAATTTGTTCGAACCACTCTTTAAAGACATCAGCATTCATGTCCTCATGGTAGTCACCGGTACGAGTAGATTCAAAAGTCAATAAACCACCTTTAACAAAACCGTTTGAACTACCGATGTGTACTATTATTAGTCTGCGCCCCTTTCCTGATGGTGGATTTAAACCAGTAGATAAATTATTTAAAAAGCCTGTCTTCGACTTGTAACAGTTTCATCTTGCCAAAATTTATTTGGTTTATGTCCCTCGTTGATCCATGTTTTTTTTAAATAAAATATATTTCTTCTTTGGTTTCTCATTTCTTTTATAGTCCTTAGGTAATTTCTTCTCCATACTACAATATCGCTTCTTTCTATTAACATAGACTTTCTGGAATGCTTTTTCCATAGGAAACCTATTTCTTTTAAAAGTTTCCATAGTGTGCTTCGACTCATTTCAGGGTAATCCTTATTATCTCGAACCGTGGCAAGAACTTTGTCTACTGTCGGAAATTCTTTTCTAAAGAAGAACGCATGCACTTTCCTTCGAAGTCTTTCTTTCAAAAGATATTCTAATTGAAATTTTGGTTTTCCTGGAGCTTTACGTGCTGTTTGAAACTCGCCACATTTCTCTTCTTTAACAACTCTGTAAATCGTAGATTTCCCAACGCCAAGCGTACTACTAACTAATTCCACTGTGTCATCAACGCTTTTACGTAAATGTTTGTCTGTAAATGATTTAAAACAATTAAATATTAATGTTTTTTCATTAACTGTTAAAGGACCGATTTTTTGTCGTTTACGCGGCCCTTCCAAATTTTCCATGATCACACCAGAATTCACACTGCACCTTGCAAGTTGCAACTAAACGACATTTAGTAAACTGTCAAGAATACACAACTTGGACCTCCTTACTAAATGGAAAACCTATAATCGCATATTCGGTGAAATGTGTTGGGAAGGTATTTATCTACTTATAATTGGATTACTGTAAGAAATTCTTGGAATTAAAATAAAACAAAATTGGCAAATAGGTACTTATTGAAAATAATCTTAAGATACGGCTATGTAATCTTTAATACACAGGGCTTTTGGCCTGTCCAAACCTTTTTCTATTGTTCTGTACAGCTTATGTTTATAAAGGACCAATAAAAGACCCAAAACTTGTAATAGCTCAGGTACATTTATTACAATTTTAGGAAATATTTAGATTATTCTGTAAAAATATTTAAAATGACCGTACTAAGTTTTGCATTATAAATGCTGTTTTATTACCCTCTCATACATAAAAATAGACTATAGTACCTAGGTTGTGGCAAGCTTCTGGATACAACAATAAAATTATCCTTCTACTGTGCTCTACTGAAAAGTTGACTAGAATGACATAGTGCAGTTTACCTCCGAGGTACTAATATACCTATTAAATAATTTTCAATATTTTGACTTAATCATTCTCTTATTGTACCTATTTTTTTTTAGTCTATTATGTATTAATTTAGCCTTGATTAATTAATTAATCTTACTGTTGTTTAAAAGTTTTGTATTCCAAACTTTGATACGAAAATTTGAATCAATTAATTATGAGTATTTAAAAAATTAAAGCATATTAATAATTGTGAAGTATTATTTAAATTGAATACTGACATGTCATGACTGATTGTACAATATAATCACTAAGTAATTTTCATTTTCATTCAATAAGTATTCTTTTTCAAAACAATAATAATGTAGTGACATCGTGAATTTTTAAAACCAATTCACTTAGGAAAATTATAGGCTTCAGCTTTGTTGATTACAAAGAAACCATTATGCAAATGATGTCAACCATACAACATTTTGAATTGATGTTACTACTCACATACAGAGTGTTGAAATATTCGACAGGCAACGTTTTACAGCTGACTTTGAACTGTTTATTTCTGTCTTTTATTATTTAATTCTTTTAATCTATAACTTATAGTCTATTTTTATGTATAAGAGAGTAATAAAACAGCATTTCTAATGCAAAACTTAGTACGGTCATTTTAAATATTTTTACAGAATAATCTAAATATTTCCTAAAATTGTAATAAATGTACCTGAGCTATTACAAGATTTGGGTCTTTTATTGGTCCTTTATAAATATAAGATGTTTGGAGGTTTGAACAGGCCAAAAGCCCTGTGTATTAAAGATTACATAGCCGTATCTTAAGATTATTTTCAATAAGTACCTATTTGCCAATTTTGTTTTATTTTAATTCCAAGAATTTCTTACAGTAATTGAATTATAAGTAGATAAATACCTTCCCAATAAATTTCACCGAAAATGCGATTATAGGTTTTCCATTTAGTAAGGAGGTCCAAGTTGTGTATTCTTGACAGTTTACTAAATGTCGTTTAGTTGCATCTTGCAAGGTGCCTTGTGAATTCTAGTGTGATCATGAAAAATTTGGAAGGGCCGCGTAAACGACAAAAAATCGGTCCTTTAACAGTTAATGAAAAAACATTAATATTTAATTGTTTTAAATCATTTACAGACAAACATTTATGTAAAAGTGTTGATGACACAGTGGAATTAGTTAGTAGTACGCTTGGTGTTTGGAAATCTACGATTTACAGAGTTGTTAAAGAAAAGAAATGTGGCGAGTTTCAAACAGCACGTAAAGCTCCAGGAAAACCAAAATTTCAATTAGAAAATCTTTTGAAAGAAAGACTTCGAAGGAAAGTGCATGCGTTCTTCTTTAGAAAAGAATTTCCGACAGTAGACAAAGTTCTTGCCACGGTTCGAGATGATAAGGATTGCCCTGAAATGAGTCGAAGCACACTATGGAAACTTTTAAAAGAAATAGGTTTTCTATAGAAAAAGCATTCCAGAAAGTCTATTTTAATAGAAAGAAGCGATATTGTAGTATGGAGAAGAAATTACCCAAGGACTATAAAAGAAATGAAAAACCAAAGAAAAAATATATTTTATTTAGATGAAACATGGATCAACGAGGGACATAAACCAAATAAATTTTGGCAAGATGAAACTATTACAAGTCGAAGACAGGCTTTTTTAAATAATTTATCTACTGGTTTAAATCCACCATCAGGAAAGGGGCGCAAACTAATAATAGTACACATCGGTAGTTCAAACGGTTTTGTTAAAGGTGGTTTATTGACTTTTGAATCTACTCGTACCGGTGACATGAATGCTTATGCCTTTAAAGAGTGGATCGAACAAATTATAGATCTTCTTCCTCAGAACTGTATAATAGTAATGGATAATGCAAGTTATCACTCGAGACTTGTAGAAAAAATGCCCACAACCAAGTGGTTAAAAAAAGATTTACAGAATTGGCTAAATTCAAAGAATATTAAGTTCCATCCCGGTTCTGTGAGAAAAGAACTGTATCATTTGTGTTCCCTTCATAAAGAGAAATTCAAAAAATATGAAATTGATGAAATTGCAAAATATCGTGGGATGACGGTGGTTAGATCACCACCATATCATTGCGAAGTAAATCCGATTGAACTGATATGGGCACAGATAAAGGGAGAAGTTTCGAGAAAAAATAATTCTTTTAAAATGAGCGATGTTAAACAGTTGTTTTGGGAGGCTGTAAATAATGTGAAGCCTGAAAACTGAGAAAAGGCAGTAAATCATACGATTAAAGAAGAAGAGAAAATGTGGAAGTTGGACAATATTACTGATGAAATGATCGAGCCACTCATTGTAAATATTGGTTGCGACAGTTCATCTTCTGATTTCGATTCTGATTTGGATTTGTAGGTAAGAAGTAGTTTTTATATTAAAATTATTATTTATGAGCGTAACGTTGTTTAAAAGTCAAAGTTTAAACCCTTATACCTACATAACCCGTTTGACACAATGTTCTTAACATACCTTGTGGAAAAATAAAAC